CTTTTTCTTTGTCCACTCTAATGACAACTACACATTCATTCCTGCCAATTCGGATCAGTTTGTTTATAGAACGAATACGCCTTCTGGACAACTCACTAAGAAGAATCATGCCTTCGATATTGTTGTATTCCAGCAAGCTGACATAAGCTCCCATTTCAGCAATGGACCTTACGTTCACCATCACTACATCTTCCACCTCAGGAAATTTGTGTTGATAAAATCTACAACTTAGACCCGGCATTCTGCAATTTAAACAAACAATCAAGTGTTCAGTTAAGGTCAAAATGAAGAAACGTCAGTCAGTTTTCCACATCTGGCCACTGAAAGAAGTTATCAGTTCTCTCATTCCTTAAATTTCTTAAATGGTACAAGAAAACATGGATATTCAGGAACCAAACTTCAATTTTTATTTTGCTCCACATTTTCGTAAGGCTTGGGTGATTCTCTGACATCAGTTTTAGTAGAATCATAAAAAAATAATGACCATCTATAAAGTACTCTAAGACCTATGGATTAAAGGTACATCTTAAGAGTAAAATACTATTTTAATACCACTGCTTTATGAAATAACAATGGGAAGCAGTACTACTATTGTTAAGCTATCAGCAAAACTAGAACTACTCTTTCTCCAAGTCAGCTGAGACTTTATGTGCTACTGCCCACTATATAAAGGGAAGAATCTTCCAACTAATTAGACCCTAACCCTAAACTTTTATCAAATGGTATACACCCTATCATTTATTACAGCCCAAACTACAGTATCACATATCAAGACAGAAACTAAAATCTTATTATTCACAAAGATATATTAAACTAAAATGTATTCTCCTCTAATTTTTTTCCTCTTAAGACAAACTCAAATTTTATTCACAATTAACATAATTTCTAGCTTCCATTTTTCCTATTACTCCCAAATATTCTTCTCTTTTGTTGAACAGGACTTGAGAATAGCTTAACAGATCTCCATTACTATAAAGTTCAAGTTTCTCTTAACCTCCAAGCATTAAATATATTTAAAATTATTCCCTTTGATCCACCCAACCTACTTTCAGCACCACTCATTTTATAACCACAAGCCTGAAATCATACCATGAGTAGTTTAAAAGTCTACTTTTAAAAGGAAGCTCTCAAACTAATCATAGTTGATGATTTTCATGTTTTTCTGCTAACCTTAATTTACTGTTGCACAGGTTCAGAAGTAGGCAGCAATAGGACCTAAAAACTTAAGAAAAATGTGCAAAAATTTATTTACTAGTTTAATTAGTTTATTTCCTATTAATTGGGAAGTAAGATTGACTTCACTTGATCTTAAAGACAGAACACTCACATCCAGCTCACAGAACACCAGAGTTCTGCTACAGTGTGGGAGCTACTAACTGCACTCACATGTATCTTCCCCATGGCTTCCCACTGATTTCTAAAGGGCCCCGTATGATCTGGCTACTGCTTACCTCCCTGAGGTATCACTTTCCCCCTAGCTCTCCCTAGGAGAGCTTGTAACTGAAGCTTTATGTAATTTCCAAAGCACTCACTTGGAAGCTCAGTGAGTCCTAAGAAACTACTTGTAACTGAAGTACAAGTTAAGCAACTTGTTTTGTCTGTACTGCTAACAAGTCATAGTCAGAAGCTGAAACTGTGAAGTTTGAATCCACAGTCTGTGCTCTTATTCACCAGGTCATACTTTCTCTCAATATCAATGTATTACACTTAGGAACATCTTAAACAAAAAGCAACATTAACATATATATTTAGTGATGGAGCATAACCACAGACTAGTGCAAAATTTCAGTACTAATTTATCCTATTTAACAGAAAAACAAAGCAGCCTGTTAATAGTAACAGAAATGTAGCTGAACAAAAAAGGGATTTAGCAAATAAAGGGAAGCAGACATTCAATGGCCAGAATTATCAAGAAATAGCTGAGCTGGTTGGTTCATTTTTAAACAGGGCTTTTTTAGGGGGAGGGACAACCATTGTCAAATGTTTGTATGTAAAGTACTAAAATATGAGAGCTAAAGAAATTTCAAACTGGGTATCAAAATAAATGCTGTCATAGAAATATGTGAAACAGTTTTAAGAGATTTAACAGGTGCTAACCACATGTACTAACCAAGTTTCTTCAAGTAGCAAAGCTGATAATTTGGGGGAAGCAAGGCTTAATTTGATGGTTAAAGAACAGTGGCAATAGTGTCAAAGAATTCTGAAGGGAGATTTAATGTTACTGCTTTAGGAGGTACCAGATATTTGCAATATACAGGGTAAAAAAAGGAATATTGCTGAAAGTATGTTATTCACAGTAAAGAGAGACTAGTCAGTAACTACAAAAAGAATTTGTTTCACAAAGAACCTGCATATTGGTTGACAGATTTTGAACGTATCGCCAATTATGCTAATAATAACACTAACTTAAAAAAAATTAGGAAAATAGAAGCCACATACTAGGTTACTTATCAACCCTTTATATAATTTCCAAAGCACTCATTTGGAAGCTCAGTAAGTCCTAAGAAACTACTGAACTGTAGTTTCTTAGTCTTAACCATGTACTTCACAGGTTTGTGGAGGGTATCACAAGAGATCAAATATATGTAAAAGCATTTTATAAAGTGTAGTTTGCTACACAAAGAGATTAAAAGGCAAAGGAAGTATTATCTCCACTTTGTTAACTCAATTCGTTAAACAATTATTTTTGCAGTACCTACAATGTACCAAGCACTACTGACACAACAATTAAGACTCTTAACCTAAAAGGCTTAAAGACGGAGTAGGAAACTAGTTAGTAAGTGACTGCAGTGTCAGGTATTATGAAAGGAGCATAGTGACACAATTAACAGGGACCCAAGGAAAAGAAAGATTAAATGACTTCCTCAAGGGCAAAGGCTTAATTAGTACTAGAACTGGGGCTAAAACCAAGTCTCCAGACCTTAAATCTGAATGTCTTTAACCCACAGAGCCTCAATATATATCAGAGTACTACAATACAGTATGTGTTCTTCCATACAGAAAAACATCTTTCAAAATACATTAATGAACTCTGAGCTAATTTCAAATACACTGCATTGTCGGTAATTTTATCTATTCAAATGGTAGGTCAAGCGGTAGGTAGGACTTCTTGCCCAAACCACTGCAAAGTCAAGTCACCATAATGGATACAGAAGTCCACATTCCTTTCCAAAATGAGGGACAACTCTTGGGATTATTCTAATTAAGTCCTAGTTTACCGGTTTTGCTCTGTGAATGGTAGTTTTTAGTGTAAGTCTGCTACACACATAAAGCTTTTAAACGATTTTACTGTAGTTGAAATAGGAAGCGCCAACCCACTGTGCATCTATTTGAGTTCCTTTAAGAATCAGTAACTTTCATTTGGCATCAGATGAACTAAGAATAGAGAGTAAAGCTCTATATAACTAATTTCCAAACTGCCGAAAGACACAAGAGTCGCAAATTTTTTTCCTTGAGTTAACTACAATCGAGAGAAAACCCAAGACTTGGATACACCTTTCTTCCAAGAAACAGTGTTTCCTATTTAATGAAAAGTAAAACAGCCTAAGTTTTGGGGTTACTAAAAGGCACCTGAGGCTGAATACGTATATATCCCTAAAGTTCCCTCATGCTTTTAGTTATGTGTAACTGTAGGAGCACAATGTGTAATTCTACAATTCTATTCTCAATCGGTGCTGAAATGCGGCAAACCGATACTAAGAGTAACAAAACTCTTCAAAAGTATGTTTAAGTTTCAACTTAAACAATTGTCGATAATTTTATCTATTCAAATGGTAGGTCGAGTGGTAGGAAGGACTTCTTGCCCAAACCACTGCAAAGTCAAGTCACCATAATGGATACAGAAGTCCACATTCCTTTCCAAAATGAGGGACAACTCTTGGGATTATTCTAATTAAGTCACAAGGAGTGACTCAGTCTTCAGAAATGCACAATTTAACCGGTAAGGTTAAACGAGCTTCAACTTTTAAAAAACAATGTATCAGATGAATAAGCTGTTCTTGGACCCTTTTAAAACCCAGCTCTCGTCATTGTGCCAATCCCACTTATCCCTAGACGTGCCCTGTCTGGTTTCCACTGAGAGGTAATATTTGATGAGGAGGAAAAAGGAAGTCTGGAATTCACAGGCCCGGAAAGAGCAAAGCGCTCAGCGTCCTGGAGCGGGGGTGTCAGCCTTCTCTCCAGGCCGCCCACCTCAAGACAGCCTCACTTTAAACATACTGAAGAGGCTGCACAGTCAGTTGACCCACTTTTCTTATCGAGGTTCCTCCGTTCGTACAATGGCACCTCTGACACTGTGAGGCCTACGCCGAGCCGGCGAGGAGGGCTCCCGGCCGGCCGGCGGGTGGTGGCAGTGCTGTCCAGACGCTTCCCGCGCAGGAACGGGACCTGGGGCCTACCCTCTCTCGCCCACCCTTGTCACTGGACACAACCGAATAGGTTCTTGGAGAAACCGATCTGTGGAACTCGTCACCTGAGGTATGTGTGTGAATCCTACGCCGGGGTACCGCGCCGCGCTCGTTAATCGGAGAGATCAGATCGGTCCACCCGTAGCAGCCGCCGATTCTCCTCAGCGTGCGCTTCGCTCAACCCCACCGCGCATGCGGAACCACCATGGATCGCGCAAGCGCCAACAGAATAGAAGCCCTTCTTCGTCACTGACCATAGAGCCCAGGTCCTCCGAGAAGAAGGAAGAATGTGGACCATAGGAGCACCTGAAAAGTACACTTTCTCACTAGCTGTACTTTTCTCTCAGTAACCTTTAGGGAGCAGGGAACAGGCAAGGCTCTGATTCTTTGTGCCTGAAGAATGAATCCTTTCTCAAAGTTCCGTTAACCATGAGGTGGCGCTGTGACCAAAGATGAAAAGTAGAGGAAGAGGAGTATACGCTTCTCTCCCAGCCGTTCACCCAGCGTGTACACGGCCTTGCGCAGCCGCCTGAGAGCTGGAGGGGGAGGGGCTGGGTGACGACCCGGAATTGACCGGCGGCCCTGTGGGGCACGCACCTTGAACATCCGGGCATCGCCTGCTTCCCGTCCTTCTCTTTCCACCGAGCCCCGGCCCCCGCCAACAGGAAGCGGAAGTGAAAGAGTATCCCGGCTGCCTCTTAGCAACGCTATGGGGTCAAGTGGTACAATCAGCTGAGTCTGGTAGAGGAAGTCCTTGTGGCGGGGCAGTTGCAGACACGGTTACCCGGGTGGAGACCCGAACAGAAAAGTCACCGTCAGAATGTCGGGCAAGGACAGAATTGAAATATTTCCGTCGCGAATGTAAGTAAAAGAATGGGACGAGCAGCTCTCAGGTTCGGGAACGCCAGCCCGGAGCCCCGACCCTCCATACCCTGGGCCAGTCGCGAGGTTCCTTGTTTTCTGAGCTCTCCCGAGGCTTTTTCGTGATTACGGGGCGAGGCTCCCTGACGGCCCTGTCACACATTCCTCTGAGTGAACCACACTGGACAAGCGATCCCAGCCCATAGGAACAGACGCCCTGCCTGCCGGTTTTTGTGGAGGCCCGCCGACATTACTCATTAATTGTGCCTTCGTTGCACACTCCCTTATTGAAGCCGGCAGTGGATTTATATAATTATGAATCATAGCCACTCCTGCCCTAACAGAGCTCACAGTTGAGCAGAGACGGACAAGCTAAGGTTTCATAAACACTTTGAGAAGGGAAGCTTACTGTGATTAGAAGCTTATAGGAAGAGTCTTAAAGCAAATTGATGATTGAATTGAATTGCCCTAGAGTCGAATCAGATTCTATTTTGGATCCTCTTACTTATTTTCCAGGATCCTATGAAATGTCACTGGTGGGAAGATACCCGAGATTCTGAGGCACTCCAGTTTGCTCTTCAACCATTGCACCTTGTTCAGATTTCTGTTAATAGCACCCATCCCATTGTAAAGTGGATATTTGTTTACATATTTTTCCCACTGGATTGTGAGCTCTCTCCAGGCTAAGAGAGTGTCTTGATTATTAATCCATAGAAAGTCCACAAAACATGTTCCCTGAATGAATCTATGCCTGGGAATCTGCTCTGATGTGGGCTGCCTTTCTCTTTTGACTTGAATTCTTTGGCAGGAGAAATAGCATAGTCCCCCAGGGGTTTGACCACTTTGTAAAGAAAATTCTGAAGTTTTCTTAGAAGTGAGTAACAGCGTGTGGAAAGTAAAAATCTTTGTTATTGCTGTCTCCTCTTTTTTTTTTTTTTTCTTTCTTTCAGTGAGGAGCAGAAAGTCATTTTAGCTCTGACATTTAGATCTTTTGATTGTGGTCCTATAGTGTTCTGTTGGTTTTTCTTCATCCTGACCTTTTTTCTCAGAGAATCTGAGGCCACTGAAAGAGTTAATAATTCAAACCCAAACCTAGACTTCTGTTTCTGACTAGGTGGCTACAGCTCTTAATTAAATTAAAGGGATGTTGTTTTTATTGTTTTTTTACCTCCACACACTGACTTTTAATAGCTGCTTATACTACGGGGAAGCAGATCAGTCGTGGAGAAAGGCAACATCTGTGAAATAAATAAGGCAAAGTGCTCCCAGGGACCAGGAGAGGGGCAACACTTCAAGCGCTGATGCTTCTGGCTCTGCCCACCTCTGCGCTGAGCAACCACCAAAGTAGCTAGCTTTTAGCAGCCTTAAGTTGTGTTCCTCAGATGACCCCTGCCTCCATTACATGCCTGCCTGAGAAAGCTCACCACTGCCAGAAGAATTTACAGTTCGTTCTGTCAAACACTAGAGATAGGCCTCTTAGGGCATTTACTAAAAAGGACTGACAATGATGAATCCTGTCTTTTCCCTTTGAGATGTATATATCTCTTCTACAACTCAGAAGTGTCTTATAGGACCTGAAAATAATTTCTTTGAAATAGAATCATCAGGGATAATAGGGCCTCTGTCTCCCAGTCTGTGTGGGAGGATAGAACCCTGACTTCCATAATTGCCACTAGCAGACACAGCTGGTCTAATGGCCTTTCCACCAACCAACGCTTTGTAATTTTTCACTTCTCTGACTCTGCTTGCCTCCTCTCACTCCCTTCCTTCCTTTCTGCCTTTAAAATGTCCAATTACCTCTATACAAATAGGAACGGAACTCAATTCTTTCCCCTACTGTCAGTGGGTAATGAGTAAAATCTGTTTTTACTACTTTATTGCCCGGCTGTATTTTTCTTTGATAGTAGAATGTTAACAGTTTTTTGTTTTTACTTTGAGACTAAAAGGTGAAAATAGACTTCTGTGGGTTTAGACAAGAAGAGTAGTAAGTTGTGAAGGTGAAAATTGCTATTTGAGAGCTTGCTGAGTGAGAGGATGGATATCTGCTGCAGGAAGTAACTGCTTCTTTGAGTATTTCCCCCCCCCAAGGCTTAGCAGCAGGTACTTTGTCATGCAGTCAGATGTCTTTGATTCAGCTGGAAACAAAGTCATCCTAGCTGGAGGTTAAACATTTTTGTGTAGGGCTGCGCAGCTCTGAAACTTGTAAAAGAATAGGTTTTTTAAAAGAGGTAGGCCAGAAAATACACCAGTGACTTCTGTTTCAAACCGTTCCACCTTTCAGTGTTATTCTGTGAAATGGGGCTGCCACCCGCTTAGGCACCTCAGAGCAAAACAAGGTCAGAGTGGAAGCAGGTGAGGCGTGAAGAATTTGGAGTAAACAGAAGTCAGTCAAATCCAGGTTCTACTACAGATTGGCTGTAAACCCTTTGGCAAGTCACTCTGCTGGAGTCGCAAGAATTAAAATTTGTCTGTTTCACAGGGTGGCATTCATTACCTAGGAGGAAATTAAAATAAGCATGGTCAATTCAGTTTTATAACCAGCTCATCCTTTTACTGTAACCTTGCCAGAATCTGCAGTACTAGGATTTGACATAGATTTGACCCATCTCTTTGATCCCACATTCTGGTGGTTAGAGTCAACAATGCAGAATGTTAAATGTACACATTGGGGTGGAGAACTACTGCTCAGGCTGGAAACTGAACTAGCTTCACTTGATTAGACCTCCAGTGAGGCCAGTCAGTGCAAAGTCGGTCACCAACAGCTAGTTTTTTCAAAGAACTCTGGTGCTATTTGTAATCTGTAAGGGAGGCAATGTGGGAAGTGGATGGGGTACAGTGGACCTAGGTCTGAGCCTTAATTTGAGCCTTGGGCAAGTCACTGGAGTCAGAAACCAAGTTGCTGCTTTCTTTTCTTCACTGAGTCACTGTGGAAAATTGTGTCACTTTTCTGAGCCTCATTTTCCTAACTTTCAAGATAATGTGTACAGCCCCTTCCAGTTATAGAATTGTCAGTAACCTTTGCCTGTGTTAAAAGATTTCAGTATAAGAATTTACCCAAAAGGCTCATTAATACATGCCATTTTGCAGTTATTTATAGTACCAGTCATACAAAATAATATCCCCTTAAACAGATCACTTTAAGTATTTACTGTACAGCCTATTTGTTGAATCTTATTACCCATTTTCCCCCCATTATTAAATTTTATCTGGTATAGGGTAACAAGAACGGAAATGTTAGTTTCTGCTGTTGCTTTCTTGCCCTTGGTATTGGTGTTTCTGATGGGAAAAGATTGAAATAAAGAGATAAGGAGACCTCAGTAGCTTGTCACTTCACAGGAGTCTTTATGTATGTCATTCATTAGCCAGAGTCACTTACAAATTAATAAAGTGTTGGAAGCAGGGTTTTGAATAATGGCATCAGAATACTTTAATGCTCATTTTTAATAGAAAAAGTAAATGGTTCTGGTATAAAATGCAAGCACTACAAAAGAATAGTAGTAAAAAGATTAGTATTTTTTTCACCCAGTGCCATTTCCCAAAGAAAACTGTTAGCAGTTTCTGTGAATCCTTTCTAGAACTGTTCTCTGTATCCATATAAGCAAATTTATCCCTTACTTTGCATAGGTCAGACAATACAATATAGGGAGTACATGTAGATCTATCTTCTTCTTTTTGTTATGGTTGCCTTTCATTCCATTGTATGATGAACCATGATTTATGGAACACTGAACTTGTTTCCACCCTTTTGCTATTACAAACAAGGCTGGAGTACTCATCCTTAACCTTGTGCATGTTTTTGTGTACATTCAGGAGTAAATCTATAGGATAAATTCCTCAAGGTGGAATTGTTGGTCCTGAAGGTAAGTGCATTTCAAATTTTGATAAGGATTTTTTAAAATCCTTAATACTCCTTTATTGGAAGCACAGGTATTATTTTAACTTACAAATCAAATAAGTATTTAAATTTGGCATCATAAAATAGGGTTCCTTATAAATTTTTATTACGATTTAACAAATACTTCAGATATTAAAGAATTGTTTCTTTTTAAATTAATGAATTTCTCATTTATGAAACACTGAGGGTAGAAAGCTATAGTATTGAAACACCAATTAAACCTGTCACACACAAATGCTGTATATTCTTACTCTCATGACATCAAAGAATAAAGCATAATTTCAGCATTGTATTGGTGAGGTATTTTTATTTCTTTTAAACAATGGGAATAAATATCTTTCACTTTGTTTATATAGGGCACAGACCATCATGAAGGCTCGTTTAAAAGGAGCACAGACAGGTCGAAACCTCCTGAAGAAAAAGTCTGATGCATTAACTCTTCGATTTCGGCAGATTCTAAAGAAGATAATAGAGGTAGAAAGAATTTTGCTTAGAACAGTGTATATTTTAGAAATACCTAAGGAAAGTCTAGCATGGCTGTGGGCATTTTTTCTTTAAGTTGGTGAATTTTTGCTGTGGGCATTTTTTCTTTAAGTTAGTGAATTTTTTTTTCTTTCAAAAGTGAAAATGACCATGTAAATGTAGCAAGTTTCAGATAGTTCATTTAATAAAATCCAGACTCCTTACTCTTGCCTGCAAAACCCACCTTGATCTGACCCAGTCCCTGCCTGCCACTCTGACCTTATTTGGAACAGTCTTCCGAACATCTTCCTCTAGGGCCTTTACCCTAGCTGTGTCTTTTGCCTGAAATGCTCTTTCCCCAGAACTTCTTGTGACTGGCTGCTTTGGCCATTCTGGTTTCTTCAGACAGGCCATCCCTAATCCAGTCTGAAGTGACCACCATATTTACTTCTGGCAAATATCCTTATTTTATTTTATTATAGCATGTCTTAGTGGAAGAGATTTGTCTTGTTTGATTGTCCACCCCATTTGAGAATGTCAGTTCCATGAGAATGGGGACTGTCTAGAACAGGGCTAGAACATAGTGGTTTTTTTTAATTGGAATAATGTTGATGTGCAATGTTATATTGGTTTCAGATATACAACATAGTGACTCGATAATTATATACATTGATAAATGCTTGTCACAGTTGAGTTACCCCATTACCATACCAAAATACTGAAGTATTATTGGTTATATTCTCTATGTGGTATTTCCATTCCTATGAATCACTTTACAATTTGCAGTTTGTACGTCTTCATCCCCTTCACTTCTACACCCATCCTTCTTCCCACTCCCTATGGTGACCAACAGTCTGTGGTCAATATGAATGGGTCATTGTGTGTTTTCACTCAGTGCTTTTTGGGTAAATGATGCACGAATATAGAAGTATATAAAAGAAGTGCAGGTTCTTTCCCAAATCCCCCACCCCCCAACCCCAGCTCACCTCCTTTCATCCCCCAGAGGAATTCTTTGTGACACTAGTTTATAGCCTTTCAGTCTTTTCTTTCTTTCTTTTTGGTAGCAGATACAGAGTACCATGTTTGGTGGCATATGGACACACACATGGATCTTTTTAGTAACACATATGCAATTATTTTCTGTATGTGTGAGTCTTTAACATTTCCTGTCCCGTTCCCTGTCCCCCCCAGCCCGTGGTAGAACATGGATAGCTTTCCACATCAACACGTATAGATCTTCGAATTCTTTATAATAGCTGCATGGTACTCCATCACACAGACAATGAAATTTAACCAATTCTCTATTGATTGATTGTCCACCCCATTTGAGAATGTCAGTTCCATGAGAATGGGGACTGTCTAGAACAGGGCTAGAACATAGTGGTTTTTTTTAATTGGAATAATGTTGATGTGCAATGTTATATTGGTTTCAGATATACAACATAGTGACTCGATAATTATATACATTGATAAATGCTTGTCACAGTTGAGTTACCCCATTACCATACCAAAATACTGAAGTATTATTGGTTATATTCTCTATGTTGTATTTCCATTCCTATGAATCACTTTACAATTTGCAGTTTGTACGTCTTCATCCCCTTCACTTCTACACCCATCCTTCTTCCCACTCCCTATGGTGACCAACAGTCTGTGGTCAATATGAATGGGTCATTGTGTGTTTTCACTCAGTGCTTTTTGGGTAAATGATGCACGAATATAGAAGTATATAAAAGAAGTGCAGGTTCTTTCCCAAATCCCCCACCCCCCAACCCCAGCTCACCTCCTTTCATCCCCCAGAGGAATTCTTTGTGACACTAGTTTATAGCCTTTCAGTCTTTTCTTTCTTTCTTTTTGGTAGCAGATACAGAGTACCATGTTTGGTGGCATATGGACACACACATGGATCTTTTTAGTAACACATATGCAATTATTTTCTGTATGTGTGAGTCTTTAACATTTCCTGCCCCGTTCCCTGTCCCCCCCAGCCCGTGGTAGAACATGGATAGCTTTCCACATCAACACGTATAGATCTTCGAATTCTTTATAATAGCTGCATGGTACTCCATCACACAGACAATGAAATTTAACCAATTCTCTATTGATGAATGTGTAGTTTTACCATTTTGTTGGGGAGGGTTCTCTTGAATTCTTATTTATATGTATCTTAGTATTTCTCTGGAAAATAATTTAGAATCTTGAGGGTTAGTAATTTATATTTTTGATAGATATGTGCCAAATTGTCCCCTAAATTGTTATACTAGTTTACATTCCTACGAAATGATTAGTGAGAGGACTTGTTACCATAAATTCTCCTTAATTTGCTATTAATTTTTTTTATTGCCAACCTATTGGCATCATTTTATTTTGCACTACCTTTGATTATTTGGGAAATTGAGCATTTTTTCATGTTTTCTGGTGATTTGATTTCTTGGTGAACTTTTTCTCTTTTATTTTTGTAGAAGTTCTATATTTTAGTTAGTGTGTAAAATGTTCAAGATATTTTCTCCAAGTCCTTTTCTTACCTCTTTTTAAAACTGGTATCTTAATTTTTATTTGGTCAAATCTGTTAGTTTCTTCCTTTATATAGCTTTTGTTTTACATATAATTCTTGGAAAGACCTAAAAAGATTAAGACAATATTCTACTACAGTCTCTTTTGTTATTTCTTAGTTTTTTTTTTTAACCTTCATCTGATCCTTAACTCATTGTTTTGTGACACTGTTAGTGACCATAACCAAAATTGTTTAGACAGAATTGGAAATTTGTATTTTCTTTTATCATTATCAAGTCAGTGTTTACATGCACATCTGGCATACAGTATGATGGCTATTAAAGGAATGATTATGACATGCTTTTTACATATTAAAAAAAAACGTACTTGAATCAGCTGTTGGTTTATGCTTTTCCAGACTAAAATGTTGATGGGTGAAGTGATGAGAGAAGCTGCCTTTTCACTTGCTGAGGCCAAGTTCACAGCAGGGGACTTCAGGTAAGAAGGCTAAGTGGGGTGTTTTGAAAAATCAAAGTGCATTCATGTTCATAGTTTCATTTCAAAGCAAGTGATGAGAGAAGCTGCCTTTTCACTTGCTGAGGCCAAGTTCACAGCAGGGGACTTCAGGTAAGAAGGCTAAGTGGGGTGTTTTGAAAAATCAAAGTGCATTCATGTTCATAGTTTCATTTCAAAGCATTAAATATATAAGCATTAAAGACAGAGGATACAGTAATAATAAGGAAGAACACTTCTAATCCCATCACCTTAAAGCCATTGTCTTTATTACCACCTGTTATATAGTTGCAAGCAAAGGTTACCTAGTGTTTTATCATTCATTTGTATGATAAATGGATGATATTGCATCATAAATATTTTTCCTTATTTTCATGTAGCTGCATAATCTTTCACAAGATGTACCATAATTTATTAACCTTTTCTTCTAATGGTGGACCTTTGGGTTGATTTTCAGATTTTTGGAATATTAGAAAAGGTGTCACCAGCATCTTCATGCATATATGTTTTTGTTTCTGCTGAATTATTTCCTTAGGATAAATTTTTGAGAGTGGAATTCATTGTTTAAAGGGCATGAATTAATGGCTTTTGTCATATCAACATATACTTTACAGAGCAGACAGAATGGTTTAATTATTGCTTCACAAGAGGTTTTGGCAATTTACATATGTTATATGATTCTCCAGATAAGCTTGTGAGATAAATTAGGCAAGCATTATTATTCTCAGTTCAAGTTCAGTGCCTTCCTGAAATCAAACGGCTATTTGGGGGCAGAGGTGGAAGTTCTAGAAGCATTGCCTGGTGGACAGGTTTTATAGCCTGAGGTGCTTAAGGCCTTTTGAAGTAGTAGACTAATTTTTGCCAGTGTTGGTAGCATCACAAACTGCATTGACTTTTTCAGTAGAGGGAAGGAATCAGTAGTATTTAAGTGGGATGTGAGTATGTTTTAGGGTGGCTTTGGGAGAAACACTTTATGATAATAACAAGTGGGAGTTAGACAAAGCCAGACGAAAGTTAGATAGGTTCCAAGGTAAAGGAATTTACCTGTTTAGCCAGACCTAGCAGGTTTGAATAGCAAACTTGGAAGAAGGGAAGGTTTTTTCTGAATTATGTTAGCAGAATAAAGATCCTTAAAGTCACCCTGTGCATCACACGCCTGACTGAAAACTCAAGTAATCTGTCTACTTTAAATTCATTATTTTTTTCTTATGGCTAATGTTTGAATATTGTTCATTCTTTGCTCTCTAAGGTCCCCTCTTGCAGCAGTGATTTTTCTTTTTCTGGAAAAAGACAATTATCAAAACATACGTAATTATGGTATCTCATGCTTGTTGAAATTACCTGATGGTTCCTGTAGGTTTATTTCTCACTCTAAAAGCTCAACTATCAAGGCCTTTTCTTTTCCTGCAGCACCACAGTTATCCAAAATGTAAATAAAGCCCAAGTGAAGATTCGAGCAAAGAAAGATAATGTAGCAGGTAACTTCTCAACCCTTGGGAGAGAAAAGATGACTTTTAAAAATTAACCTGTTTGTACAGCAAGATCTTGATGGCCCAGTATATTTTCTACTTAGAACAAGTTGACTGACTTTATATGTTAAAACCATTGTAACTGGTGGTTGCTAGAGGATGGGTGTGTGGGAAATGGAGAGTTGTTCAGTGGGTTAAAGTTACAACTGTGCAAGATGAATACATTCTAGAGATCTGTATTGCCTGTGGTTAACAATAGTGTGCACTTACAAACTTACTAGGAAGGTAGCTGTCATGTTGTGTTCTTGGCACACACATGCAAAGCAAAAGGGACACAAATCTTTGGTGGGTGATGGGTATGTTGATTACCTTGATTGTGGTAATGGTATCATGGGTCTGTTATGCATATGTCTAAACTCATCAAAGTGTATACATTAAATAAGTGCAGTTTTTTTGCATATTAATTCCTCACACCTGAAAGGAAAAAATGTTGTAACAACCAGATCCCTTATTACTCAGGAAAATATGACCCTTGAATAGGAATGAGCAATTAAGAAGGCGGGTTCCTAAATTCACTAACTGAAACCAGTGACAGTTCCAGACAATCTCTTGGTTTTTGAGTATTTGCTGAAAAAGAAACACAGAAAACAGTGTTTAAGAAATGGTACTTCAAGGACATGTTTGTAAATCCATATATGTTTCTATGTTTAACAGGTGTTACTTTGCCAGTATTTGAACATTATCATGAAGGAACTGACAGTAAGTGTGAGACTGTTTATGTTAGTGTGTCAATGCGTTTTCCTGATTTTTCTTTAAATGAACCTTGCTCTGGAAAATGGTTCTAGATAGACCTTAAAATTCAGTGGTTCCAGTGTTAGAAGACTTTTTATTTGTTAGAGTTGGGACAACGGTTCATAAGTTAATCAAGTGTTACGGCAGAGAGTCATAAGACATTGAACGTATCTTAAAATATTTTATTTCAACCTGGAAATACATAAATATATAAAGGGCCCCCTGGCCTTTTCTTTCACTATGAATCCATTGATTAGACTTCTGTGTTGTCTTTCTGAATAAACCACACCCATAATGCATTATCATTTTTAGTTTGGGTCTCTTTAAAATAAGATTTTAGACATTGTGATGCAATTTGAATGTTAAATCTTCCTAGATTTTTATAGCCCACTTCCATTTTGTATAATTGTCTTAGCTTTTCCTAATTTTACAGCATTTCTGGGTAGTAATACATCTTCACCGAGTCCAAAGTAATCAACTTTTTTTCATAGGAACAACAATATTCTTTCTTTGGCACTCTTCTTTCATTGGTGCCAGATAAGAATGCTCAGTACAGCTCAAATAAAGAAGTAGCACTTTCTAAAGAGTCGTCTGTTTAACAAGAGTGTCCCTCTATTGGGGGCATCAGGCAGTATGATCTGCAAAGGGAATGTGGCACATTGGCTAATCCAGCAATCTGGTGAGGTGAAGACTGGTTAAAAGCTTCTCCCATAATTATATCTAGAATCATATCTTTATGGAAAACTTCATTGTGTTTTGGGGAGTGAGATGGGCACTTCTTGTTAACATTTAACAAGGGCTAATTTGTTTTTCCATGTTTGGTATTATTTTGACTTACCTTCTTCTTGATAATTTTATGGGGAGATTATTTATTCTCTCAATACAAATGTTGTCTGACTGGTTCTTTTAGGTTATGAACTAACCGGTTTAGCCAGAGGTGGGGAACAGTTGGCTAAATTAAAGAGGAATTATGCCAAAGCAGTGGAACTACTGGTGGAACTAGCTTCACTGCAGGTCAGTAGCCGAAGAGCTGCAGTTTGACTTCTAATAGTCGAGTGGGGATGTTTCAGATTTTGAATCAGAGTAGCCTGCACTTACTGCTTTAAACTGTTTCCATGAACCTGTGTGACAAGAGATGTTTATTTCTGAAATGGTAACTTCTGTACTATTGTGCCTACTTTTTTTTTACTGCTAATACAATGTTTGTGTGGTGCTTTGTTTCACTCTGCTAGGTGAGAAGAGTCAATACTGGATTTAAATGCAAATAGAACATGGTTTATCCATGAAAACCATATTCTTTTCTGTTGTGGCCAGTTACTATATAGCTAGGTTATTAGTGCCTGATTCTTTCCTCTTGCCATTTTTGTAACTTAGGTGAGTCTGAAATAAACTATAATAGCATGGAAGTAATGTTACCTTTTTGGAATTTTCTATTTTTTTCTTTTTATAAGCTTGTTATAAAGTAGTCTTGGTTTCCAAATATTCTCTACAAGTGCAGCCTGAGGAAGCCAGGTGCAGTCATGATTGGGAAAATTTTGTACTTACATTATTGATCTGTCCTCTTATTTTAGACTTCTTTCGTTACCTTGGATGAAGCTATTAAGATAACCAACAGGCGTGTAAATGCCATTGAACATGGTGAGTGTAAGCTGCTGTGAGGCTCTTTGCTCACCTGCTGTCTGTACCTCCATACTTGTTACTCAGCTGCTAGGAGCCAGGCACTGATTGCAGGTGAATAAGACATTGCCTCTGCAATGGAAGGGCAGTGAGCCAGCAGTAAGGTGTTAAGTGCTTTGACAGACAGGTATGTGTACGATTTGGGGCAAGTTATATAGGAGAGTTGTGACTTAAAAATTATGGGATGTTTTATTCATTTCTCATTATTCATAAATAAATGGTGAAACTCACTTTTTCAAGAGCCTTAGTGTTTTCTTTAGTTCTTCCCACTGATTGAGTGATAAATCTTTTGAACACATTAAATATTTAACTTTAAACCCCTCTCTCTTGGGCCATATGTCCTGTTATTGTACTGTTCTCCTTGATTTCTAAAAATGCATTTTCATATTTGATGCATTTATTTTCCATCTTTTATTATCCTAAAAGTATGACTACTTAGTGTTGATATAATACTTTTTGCTCAGGAAACTCAGTTTTCATTAAAGAAACATTTAATCAATTTTGAGGTAATAAAGGAGCAAAATTTGCACAGCAATGAAATTTTGCTGGGCTTTATTAGTGTTCAGGAGGAAGTTACCTCATTTTTAAAAAGTCAAGACATATCTCCTGACTTCTTGTTAATGCTGGGCCTTGTGTACAGAACTGCAAGCAAAACATAATGGAATTGTAAGCAAAACAAAATATTTGCAACTGTCAAGGAGTTCACATTCTAGAAGCAGAGCAGGCAAATTCTATGTAAAGTAGAACCTATGACTGGCACAGTACCTAACTTACTGAATTCTCTGCTTGATGCTCCACTTTTTAACTATGGATAGCTATTTAAAATATCAGTGGTTTATTGTTGTATGTTGAAATTCTGTATATTAAGTGTTGTATATATATCATGGTCCATTGTTATCTGTCCATAGAAGACACTAGAAGGGCTTGTAATGAAATATTTACAAGTTACTTTAGGGTGGTTGGATTATACATTTTATTTTTGTATTTTTTTCCCTAAGTATTCTGTATTAAGGGTGCATTAATTTTATACTAGGATAAAAAAAGTAACACACAAATGAGCACTGGCTATTTGAAAAAAGGCTTGAAGTTCTTACATTTCTGTGTATTTTTAAACCCTAGTTATCATTCCCCGGATTGAACGTACCCTTGCTTATATCATCACAGAGCTGGATGAGAGAGAGCGAGAAGAGTTCTATAGGTTTGTTGGAATTGGCGGTTACTGATCACTTTTTATTTTCCATATTCCAAAGGCTTGGTTTAAATGCTGAGACTTGGCTTGTTCTTTAGAATTAGCACAGCTTATATTTTATTTTGATAAATAAGAAATAATATTGTCAGAGGCTGTGGAGACAGATCTATGCTACATTTTTTACACATACCACAAACATGGATGGCATCTCCAAAAACTTAAGCCTTTCAGAGAAACTGTTAATGGACTTTTTCTCTAAAATGAAACAGTGATGTAGATATCTACCATGTAAAAAGAAACTGGAGTTAATCAGTCAACCAAGTATGTACTCATGTTGACTGTGTTCCCAGAGAAAGTAGAGAGTACTCGGGGACATTACACAACAGTATAAATTATACCACTAGAGAATTAGCACAAAACATTAAAAATGATGCATGTACATGAATTGGTTATGAACATTTAGAGCTAGTAGGGACAATACTGAATAGGCAGTGCACAGGTGTCAGTATGCCAGCTTCAGAGAGCAGGAGATAGGTGAAGGCGTGGCTGTCTTGGATCTTGAGAGGTATCGTGAGTATGATTTATAATCTCAGTTATAAAAAGTTACTTAGTTTCTGACTTCCACTGATGTTCAGTATTGTGGTGATCCAAATAGAATGATCCACAATTTTACCAAATGTCTGAATGTTCAAAAGCTGTTACACTGTTAGGATAGATTTCAAAGTTTATTCACCCAGGGATAGGAGCTTTTGAAATCAGTTGCTAGCTTAAAACATGTATGTATTCCACCTCAAATCATGTTTTTCAAAATGGGCTATAAATTACTGAAATTAAGATTAATGAAAGTAAAGTCATTCTAGCATGTTTGTTATCCTTGTTACAAAACTAGAAATCAAATCTGCTTAGTACTGAAAGAGTGTTAAGAAAACCCCCTCCCTTATTTTACAGGTTAAAGAAAATACAGGAGAAGAAGAAGATTCTCAAGGAAAAATCTGAGAAGGACTTGGAGCAGCGGAGGGCAGCCGGAGAGGTGATGGAGCCTGCCAACCTTCTGGCTGAAGAGAAGGATGAGGATCTTTTGTTTGAATAATCTTTCTTGCTCTGGTTCTTACAGAAGCCCTAACATGGCACCATTTTAATTCATGGTGTGTAGGTTTGGTATGTGTGCCTATTTATTTTTTGGCCTAAGAATTCCACTGGATGTAAAATTCCCCTGGAAGTCCATTTATGGGACTACCTTTGCAGAATAATAATTCAGCAACCATTGATCACAGATGCAATCTGTAGATCCTGCCCAGGCACTTGTAGAATTCATTCTGCAGGTGTCACCCATCCTCCATTTACATCTGTTACAGGTGATGTGCTTACCAAACATATTTGGAACTCCCTTGAGGAAAGAAAGAACAGCGGTCTCAGGCTAACAAATGTAGGCCAGCTACTGCTGGAGCACTGTGTTCCTACCCACTTGCACACCTTGGCGCTAATGGCTGCAGCCATCCTTGTGTAACTGTGGTACTTCTCAGCCTTTATGAAAACCTCCTCTTATTTTCCTTGCATGCCAGGTCTTTGTCCTGTAACAGGAACAGTTCTGCCAATTTAAATGTAACTGTAGTATAAAAAGAGTAAAATGATATAAAAATGAGTTGCTCCTTTATTAATTTACTGCTAAGAATAACAGTGTTGCTATGCTCAGATTAGCACATGGGATTGTCATCCAGAAAGAACTTTTTCTTTGAGGATGAGGATATAAGGGATGTGGACAGCCTCCTTTTCCCCTCTTTATGTATCAGTATTTTACTGATAAGCTTACTGAGATGATTGAATTTCGGGGCACTAACATATATATGTATGATTGCCAGTGAGTTAAGAGGGTTTATTGATAACTTTCTTTCCTAATCTAAGAAAAATACTAACTCCTATTTGGGAGTAAGTAATTACATAACTCTTTACTATTTGATAAGCAGTAACAACTTGCTGTCTTCCAGAGGCATTTGAGTGGCCCTATCAGGAGGTGACTGGTTTTCTGTAACTGATTTGGTATTAAGCCATCTATGGTTAGTCAGGCTCTCTTGCATCCAGTTCGATGCATTTTTCATGGAAGGTTTCAGTGAAACTGTGGCACTGACCTTATTAGTATTATCTTTAAATCAATTGATATTACAGCCTAGGCTTTTTAATGTACCAAATTTTGTGAATGTTTAACACCTGCTATAAAATAGATCTTAGTTGTGTGCTGTGTGCTGTTCTACTTATCACAACACCCATTAGACCACAATAACCATGCTATTTTAATCCCACATTTCAGGGAAGAAAATTTTGAAGCACAGGAGCTTGAGCAGTTGATCCTAGGTCCAAAAGCTAGAAAGCAGTGAATCTGATTTAAGTCCAGGCAGTCTACCTTAAGAGTTTTTATACCTTAATTTCTGTCCTTTCTGCTTCCCCTCTATTTAAAACTTAGGATAAAGGTAAGAAATAGGGCCTGTCCTGAAGGAGCTGATTTTTAGGAAATCCTGTTGCTCACAGAGTAAAATCTCAGATTCAGTGTAATACAATAATGATTATAAAACCAACAACTAAGTTCATAAGTCTTGAAGATAGGTTAACATTTAACTGCTAAACATTTAATCCTCCCAACTCTGGGGGAAGTATAAATACTCTTATCTCCATTTTGCAGATGAGGAAACTGGCTTTGTCAGGACAAATAGCACAGGTGTAATGCAGGCCAAGTGTATCTTGATTTCAGAGCCTTTGTTCTTTAGTCTGTACTGCTTTTCTAGAAGACAAAAATTAGTTTTGAAGGTAGTGGGAAGCCTTATTATCTCGTGGTTTTTCATTTAGGTAAGTTCAGTGTTTACCTTAAAGCACTGACCCAGAGAAATACTGGATTTCTCCTGTGGCTTCTTAAAGCTCTGGTATTTATTGACCTTGGCTACACTCCCTACAAAAATGCAGATTTTGTTTTAGCATATCATTAAAAAGAAATCAGGAGAAAATAGTGGACAGATAATTTGTTGTGGAGTTGGGTGCTGTGATCCATGGAGGAAGAGGACAGAACACCAATATGACTAGAAAGCTGGACTGGGGCAGCAGGTATGTGTACATGTATGACACTTTTGTTGATACATGATTTGCCTCCTTTTGGAGATTTAGAGTGATAACACAAAAACGGGAGAAATGAAATATATTTGTTGACAAACTCACATCCTATCCTCAATGTCCTCAAATCCTTGGCTGTATATAAGCAGAATTTGTCCAAGTATTACGTACCTTCTACAGAAAACATTCACATTCACAACCTTAAGCTATCTTTAATAGGTTTTTTTTTTTAAAGGAAACATACTGTTCCAATAGAGGGCACTCTCCCGCTGTGAAGAATAAATTAAAAGGCATTTTGTGTGTTACCCAGGGGTTCCAGTGGACTTCTCTGGCAAAAACTTGAAGACAGGGTAGTGGTTGCTAGATGTGTTGAGACCTTTAATGGCAGAGAATATGAATTAACACAACAAGAAAAAAGACTCGGTGGCTTTTAAAAAATTTGAAATAGAATTTTACTTTTCATTTTTACAATACAGTGTGCAGTATGACATCTCAAAAAACAGTGCAGATACAGGATAAAAGTACAAAGGATTAACAGATGTCAGACAGGTTACCTTTATTAATGCTAAATCCCTGGTTTATATTTTCCACACATATTCACAAAATACATTCAGATCATTCCTCATCAATACTTATTCCTTAGGCTGTAAGAAAAGGAAAAAAAAAATCCAGACATTAGATTTTCATATAAAGCAAATCTGGATTAGTCTAAATACTATTCTCCTTTCCGTTTGTTCTGACTTTTAAGAACATTTAGTAAAGGAAGCTATTTTCTTGAACTAATGTGCATTTCATTAGCTACTGATATTGTTCTTGTACATGGGTAAGACTTCCCCCACACCAGATCTCCAGTCAGAACCATGGAGGAACAGAAAATGAAATTGGCCAGAGCAGCTTGACAAGGTATTTTTTTTCATTTTCTTTTAAGGAAGTCAGCAACAACTCAGTTTTCACTTTGTTTAGGGACTGTGTTGATTATCAGCACATCTGTATTACTAGGCTTGAGGAAAGTTTGGGGCAGAAGCATTTCTGTACCCTTACCACTGTTGATGGGTAAGGAGAAAGAACTATAGGACTTCACTGAGCCCCAGAATATATTTTGTCACCTTGGACTTCCTAAAAGTATACTATGGCATGGCATGTGCCTTGGTAGGAGATTGGCTGCTTTAAGACATGTCTGAGCCTTGACAGCACATGGCCCTGCAGTCTGCAGGCTAACTCAGGAACGGGCCCAATAGCCACTTGACACTATCTGAGCTCTCCCCCTAACTTAACTCAAACTGCCAACGTTGTAGAGCTTACGGTCGAAAACTTGTCAGTTTTGATAACCAGTTCACAAAACCCCACTGTCTACCACAGACTCATTCCTGAGGAGAAAGTAAATTGGAAAACTGAGATGATTTAAGTGCATATAGTCCTTGGTTTTCAATGCTGAAATTCAGTGTGATGTTTGCATTTTCTTGCCATAGGCCAGAGTGTGTCTTAATGTCCTTCCTTCCCTTAACCCAGGAGTATTACTTTCTTCTTAAGGGAAATTATCTTGGAAGTATTCCCACAGAAGACACTCCACAAACCAAATTTGAAGCCATGCAAATCGGAACAGAGAAAAGCAACATATAAAGTATCTACATTTGTTCAAATAAAATTATGTAGCATAAAAAAATAATCAAATATACACATGAAACTGAGACAAACTACTCATTAAAAACAACTGCTTATGTTAAATTGACAAGTTAGTGTTATCCAGTGTTTAGCTTTGGGAACAGGAAATGCTGTAGCTAAAATCATCCTAAAAAAAAAAATCAAGACATTCACATTTGAGGTTTTGTCACACATCACACCATTACTAAAGGCTTGAAAAGACTACAAATTAACTTGCTATGCCAATTACAGAAGCTGAATTTTAAAGCCACAGCTATAGAGACAGTACAAAAATCCCATTAGCTTAAACATGTATGATTTAGCAAACTGTTGCATTCCAGTCCCTAAGAGGCAGACCTTGTTAGGATAAAAACCTGTTCTATATACTTAACTTTCTCCCTCCTATGTTCTTTTTCTAAAATATTCAAATGACTTTCAGGTCATCCTTTCCTTCTGATCTCAAAGTTAGCTCTGTCATACTATTTCCCTTGGAAATAAATAATTTTTATTCCAATGCTGAACAAATGTTGTCATTGACCATTTATCAGTCTATTAAACATTAGTATACTGTACAGCAGCTATAGTCATCACAGAATTCCAGTTTGTTACCTATATACAGCACAGTCATCAAATTATAATGTGCTCATATATAAAAATGCAAAACCTGTCCAATGTGCTATATTTTTTCTCATGTATATAAAAACTGCATCATGAGGAAGAAATTTTTTAAAGTCAACACAGTTTATATGAGCATCTGCCATTCACAAAAATGTAACATGTTCTATTGTACTATGCAGATCAGAGAAAGAAAGCAAGGTTATCAAATCTGTTGGGACAATTTAAGAAAAAATTTCAGAAAATCATTCAATCTGTAAAAAGATTAGCATATGTTGTATATGTTCAACTAGGTCAGAATCTGCTGAGTGTATAATGAAGTCTAATCCACAGAGTTTGAGCTTAAAAACTGATGCTTCTAACGGAATGTTTTTAAGAATTAAAAGATATACAAATGAATTCAAGCCTAACAGTGTAGCTACAGACCAAAGTGGCACCATTCTTTTTTCAGGAAAGTATTTCTGATGACTAAACCAGTCTGCTAAGCAAATACCGTCTTCCCCAGTGTACAGAAGTAGTCTCCGCCTGCCACTAAATTCCCATGAAGTCATTTAACTGTTAAATAACATCAATATTTATAATTATGTTAAGACACGGCCCGTTGTGTATATACAAATATTTTTCATGGAAACAATGACCAGGCAGAAAAGACTGAGAGGAAAACAGAATTAAAATGTTTTTACGTGGATAAAATGGAACTGCTCTGTTGAAGCTTCCATTTAGAATCCCCAAATGAGGCTACAACCTCTCAAGTCATGTACAGAGAATAATGACTGCTATGCACAAGTTGCCAGTGGGGATTTTTCTTCTCACTAGTTTGAGATCTAAGAACAGGTCTACAGCGTATACAGCTTGCCACCTCATCCTCAGTCTTGCTGAAGTATCAGGGCTACCTTCCTACTGGCGATTTGCCAGAGCAAGTCCAACTGCACCATGGAATGGATGTTTCCTTCACCTCAGCCAAGTGGATGGCACCCACTGAGGTTCAGTATCAAGTTTGTTAATTAACCTAAGCAACTCCTGATAGGCTTTATCAAGATCTGAATTCACAATTGCTGTGTCAAAGTAGTGGCCATTGTTCTGTTCCATTTCTCTAGTCTTCTCAATGATTTCTCTCAACTCTTCAGGCTGTAAAGAGAAGATAAAAACTTTGAGTAATTCCTTACCAAAATATACTATGAGTCAGAGATGGCCAAAGAACAAGAAATGATCTTACACTGCTCTCCCTTGGTCCCTGAAAATACTCAACCCCAGGAGCTCCTCCCCAACCTGAATTTCAGGGCCATGGTG